CGAGTGAAACAACCCACCTACCAAACCCCCAGCACATTCACTAAGCCTTCCTTTCGACAAAACAGAGGAAAATTAAAAACACCGTGTAATCCGTTAAAACTCAACGCATCAAAAATAGCAAGTCGTTATCACAGCCTTTGTTCCACTGAAACCCAGCGGCACTCGTTCAAATCGTGAAGTATAAGATGCTGTATAAATCAGCTAATCAATGATGACGGTTGTTCACCTTGAAATGCTAACCCCTGCAGGAAGTAAAAGTGCAGGTTTAAACTGCACGCGGATCTGTCACGTTGCTTCACTTTTTCTAGCATATTGACTGGGCTTTTGTGTACTAATACAAGTCACCCCTCGAACATCCTCCACAGCAGCGAACATGAACGAATATTTGTCAACATAATAACCAGTATTGACCAAAACTTCCCTAACTGTAATTGGATTACTCAGATATGTGGATATCAACAAAGTAAAGTAATCATGGCGAAAGTTTGCTCACGCTACGTTCAAAAAACTAATAGTGAAAGTAGGACACTAGAACCAAGTCACCTCCATTTGCGAATCGCGCCCACGCATGTCTAAATTTCCATATGCATAATCGCCGGCAGACCTACTTGTTAACTAGCGGATCAGCTTACAATACTTCACGAATTGGAGTCAATTCATTTCATTCCAGCCCTTGGAGCAATGCAGGTTTGCTTTCGCCTAGGCGCCCTCCATCCTGATTAATATTTTTACATGTGGCCTAATTTTGGCAGCACGCATCTTCCAATACAGACGACCAACTTCCGTCCGCTACCATGCTCTAAAAACTGAATCGAGCTCAGATCCACTAAATCGACGAAACGGAACACCGAGTTAATTAATAAATAGTGTTTAGCCATCGTCGAACGGAAATGATGCTGCCCATGAGCAGAATATATCTATCCATTTTCATGTAACACATCAATAATGACATCGTAGGACACTAGGATTCCCTTAACGTGACATCAGACGTTCTCTAAGCACGACACGCACCTTTTTTCTTCTCAGATTGAGTTTCAACAATGGACGACGTTTGTTTTACACCAGCAGAATCCTCGACTCGAATACTTTCAATGCACTCCCCCTTCTCAATTCTCTCTGCTCTGTAGTAAGAGTCGTGAATGATGGAAGTAATTGTTCCATTACAAAAACTTGGCCGATAATCCATTCCACGTACATGCGGTGGGTGTGCCTGCGAACCCAAGGGGCTCCCGGAGCATATTCCGCCCTACTTTACCTTACCGCTGCTAGCCCTTTCTCTCATGGAAACACCACCTACCGGCTAATTAGTCCATCCTTTACCTTCTCCATTCCTTGGCTTTTTCATGAACATCGATCCTGTCGCGATTTCTGCCTTTTGAGTGCTCGATCGCAACCTTCATGTACTGGATTGCATGGTAGGATTTCGAGGCCGGCACGGTATCGGCTTTGAACTTGACGATTCGCGAATGTATTCAAATGGTGCATAGAGACGATTGCCTACGCGCTAATCGTGACGTGATTTACCCTAAACCCAGTCCTGCCCTGACCTTCTGCTTACTGTGATCCAGAAGAGACCCTGACTGTTCGGCAGAAGGTTGGCCGCAACTTCAACGTTTGATTGCGGGATGCATTATTTGAACATTTCATGAGTGACTGGCACTTGCTTTTTTGTCCGCGCGGTCTATCTTTGCGACAAATTCAGGATTCCGCCTTTTGATTGATCTAGCATGACTGAAAGATTTTGTTTTCTAACCTGTTTGGTAGTATCATCAGGAGTACATGATATCAGAACATCAGGGCAGAACGGGTTGGAGATGAAAAACAGTATGTGCATCAAAAATTCAGCACCACTTGACATGCCGGCGTCGGTAGGACTTGAGTGCTCGCCAACTTTCAAGAGCCGTGTAGGTTTTCTTCTCGATGTAAGCTTCCAATTTTTTCTGCAGCGCTTCAAATTTATGCGATGAGTGCCAGACGTCAGAAGGTATGACATTAAAGAAATGTCACGTTGCCGATTTCACGACAGTTGCCTGTTCTTTGGTGGCAGGTGCTCGGAAGTTGCTTACGTAGCGCATCTTAGAGTGTGGTGCTTTCTGCAGAGCTCGAGCTAATGGTTTCGGTAAACCGATGTTCTAGAACGATAGATTATGTGGCGACATTCCTTCAGATCAGCTTTTCATGTCAGCTGTTCAGTAAAGAGCAGTCAAAAGCATTTGCCGAGACATAAACTGGAAACTGAAAGATGTTCTACGGACGCAGTAGACAGATTTCCACAGAAGTAATAAATGTTTTCTAGTAGTCGTTGAAAATGGATTATGGTTGGAACCGCTGTCTATTTGGTGAATGTAGAACTTCCTTGATCTAACTTCTCGGAATTGATTACAATGGAGAAAATTTCGAATTGTATCTCTTGCTTTTGACAATGCCTAAGTCACGGTTTTTATTCGCTCCATACATGTTCGTGATGTGCTCATTTTTTGCGGAGAAGGGGTAGGCCTAAATAGGGCAGTCGAAAGCGGTGGAAATGGAGTTAGGGGCACCACTTGTTAGTGTACACTTGATACAGGAGAGCATTCCTTTGGAATCTTTGACACAAAGAATAAAATCATACGTAAATGATTCATTTGTGCGTACTTTCGACAAGAATCAGTGAACTTCCTACATCTCTACATCCTGCTTACATACTACTACATTTTCGCGCGTGCTCGACATCTTGAGCTCCTTTAAGCCCAGGTGAAAATTTTATTGGTTCGGAACGTTTCCTATGGACGTGCGCTACCGAGACGTTGAAAGCATTAGGTGACTAGACACTACGGCCGCGCACTTATGTATCATTTCAGGAAGTCGTTTGGGAGCCTCATGATCGACCATGATTCGTATCTCGAGGAAACCCCGGGATTAGCCTGTCTAGTAGGAGGGATACCACGAGGGAAATTGTAGGGTTCGTACGTAAGTGATCACTCCAGCTTCGTCGCAAAAACTGCGCAGTTGGGGCGCTATTCCTTACGGGCCTGCAACCATCGATCCCTTCCAACGCATTCCACCGCGACGAGGTGGCGAGATCAGCGTGCATTGATGAGAGATCAGCGTACTCTCTCGCGTATTTTGTCTTCATTTGAACAGCCCCTTCTCGCCATCGTACCAAATCCGACCCTATTGAAGGTTAAGGCCTTATTCAGCGTTCCCAAAGATTTACCTTACTTTCCTTTCCACTTTCAGATTGTTCCGCAGCTAAGCTATCACTACAAAGCGCTGATAGCACCTGTTTAATCCCGGATTTTGCCTTTAATTTCAGTAGTGGAGAGCACAATAACTGTCTTCCCCTCGAACTCCAATTTTCACCGTCATTTTTTTTGTTGCCTACTGTGTGGAGTTATGTTGTTTTTTTTTCTTTGAAGCTGATTACGGTAGTTTTTCCACGTGTTGCTTTTTGCGCACGTAATGAACCTAAACTTAAAAACCAAACCTAAGTGGTAGATACATAAAAAAAATGTTTTAGGTATGGAACACTAAGGACAGAGTCGTCTCTTCAGGGGAGCGTGGCTGGAAACCCTCAAGTTATTACGCAATTCTTGGCGCTTTCTTCTCATGTTTTTATAGAGTTCTTGCACAGGCGACTCGCAAAGATCAGTCTTCTGATCAGATTAATCCACTGAATGAAATACCCGGGGCGTATATAGGGTTGCTGACGCAGTGCTGCAAGTTCAAAATTGTGGTTCTTGCCGTCGAGCACGAGGTGCAGGAAGAGATCTAGTGAATCTAGTGACCTGAGCTCCGAATCTGTTGATCTGAACCCTAACGTGTGTTAGGGTGTGTTGTATCCCAGATTCCTTGACCGCTTAGAAGAAGGACGGCTTCACTTAGATCCCTTTCAGGAGCACCTTGAATTTTTTGTGACACTGGAGATTCCGTGTGACACCATTCTTTCAATCTAGAAACCTACACTTCGGTTTCTCTCTTTAGGCTGATTCAGACTTTTGCGAACCACGATACTCTAACGCGATTCTGATGCAGAGGTTGCACCCAGCGGAATCGAGCTGATGTGTCAGCGGTTTAACGACTGTACCAACTTGAAGAGTTTGTAGCCTGCGCTGGCTTTTCCTTGTGAACCAGGGTCAACCCTATGTTGCTACAAGTAGCAACGGGGGGGTCGTATTTTGATGAGTTTGTAGAGGGGGGGGTCGTACTTGCTTCGGTTGTAAGAAGTTGCATGTGATGAGTGGGGAGCGGCGCGGGAGAAATTTGCCGTTTCAGCGCGCGTATATACCCCCCCCGCTCGACGGCATTTTTGGAGGAAAAAGTGGGCGGGGTTTTGATGGAAGATGGAGATGGTGGAGGTAGGGAAAAGGGGGTCGTATCAAATCCACCTTGGGGGGTCGTAAAAATTTTTCGAAAAGTAGCAACGATAGGACCGACCCTGCTGTGAACGTCGGCTCTCGCCACTTCTCTCGCCATCCGCTGGCGCATAGTTCGATTCGCTGGTGCAACGCTCGTATCCCGCTATTCGCTGAGTCTTACATCGGCCTTAGCGCAGAATGTGTCCATACGAATTGTTAACACAGTGGAATGCAAGCACTTCACGCAATGAGTCGTCATTGGTAACAAGTCGATGCAAACATGATATGAAAATTTTATAAGTTCAGGCGAGATTTTTTATGAGCAGTGGCACCATACAGACGATAGTCGAACAGTCGGCCTAATGAGAGCATAGCAGAATGGTAAGCTGTTACAATCACTTTACATGTTATGTTAGACAAAAATACATCGATCACGTGAATTCTCTAAAGCTTTTCTACATCAACATTTGGTGAGATTGTGATACACGAGAATTTTTATATTCTGAAAACATGAATATCTTAAAAACGACAAAAGGGCACTGACGTTGACGAACTGGGAAGTGATCGGAACGCTGCTGGTTTGACTAGAATATTTACATTTGCAATAAGCAAAATCTGACACTTTCATCTTCGGTACTTCGCCGCGATATCAGCCGGCGTCATTCAGTACCATCCCCACGTCTTCATGTCCTTGTAGGCTTTGTCAAATAGCGCCTCCCATTCCTTCTTTTGCTCAGCAGTAACACCACCGGCATGTTTCTCCATAGCGGCCAAGAACGCGGCAGGGACTTTCTGCAATCACATAATGCTGTCGTGTCCAGGGAAAATTGACTGGCTGACGTACGTTGAACTCCGAAAGAGGGAAATTGAAATCGCTGTATCCTTCCTTAATTTGACCCAAAGCACTGCGCCAATCACGCTCTTCATTTATGACGGCGGGAAGCCTGAAAGTGAATTATTGTATTGTTAGGGGTTCTTTTTGTCCGAAACCAATTGCTTTACAATTCGAAACGCACCGGAAGAAAAACTGCAGCTCTTGTTGACCGAGCATGATAAACTTCTGCGCCTGAAATATATTGTTTCGTTACTAAGCATAGAAGAATTTTTCAGAATCAGAACAGAACAACTCCCCCTCCCCCTCCTCTCTCCCCACTCCTCCACATTTTACAAGCTCTCTAAAAATTGAGCTATTTTAAACCAACAAGTTATTTTGAAGTAGTAAAACTTCAGATCCACGAAGTCACGTACCTCCAGAATTTCAACTTTTTTGTTTGTACAATTCTCAAAAAAGTTCCAACAACTAAAATCCCTATTGAAGGGTTTTTGCTGGATTAACTACTTTTCATCGGATACTAGAATAACAAAGAATTACTCTAGCGAATTTCGTAGTGAATGAACTGCACTAAACTAACCTGGTTTTTTTCCTAATAAAATCACTCAAATGAAGGAATTGTCAAGTAGAGCTGAGAATGCGGCCATGAAAGGAGGGGATTTTAGGCAACGATTCTTCCTCAGCCCCCTTGAAAGGCACGGGGAGGGGATCGAATTGATGTGTTATTTTGTTCG